CTTTTCTTTAACTGAGACTTTTCTTCAACTGAGACTTTTCTTCAACTGAGGCTTTTCTTTAACTGAGACTTTTCTTCAACTGAGACTTTTCTTCAACTGAGGCTTTTCTTTAACTGAGACTTTTCTTCAACTGAGACTTTTCTTCAACTGAGACTTTTCTTCAACTGAGACTTTTCTTCAACTGAGACTTTTCTTCAACTGAGACTTTTCTTCAACTGAGACTTTTCTTCAACTGAGGCTTTCCTTCAACTGAGACTTTTCTTCCAACTGAGACTTTTCTTCAATGCAAATGTTCTTTTGAATAGATTACAGTATATAATGTAATGTATATATATATATATAATATAATGTAAATCTGTCCGATCATGTGGGTAATAAACTAAAATGACCAAACATCATTCAAAGTACGACGACTTGTGGAGAATATTGGGGTTTGATGAATTTAAAATTCAACACTTTGTTGGTGGTTCATTATTGGCGGGGGGCGTCAATGACGTCAAATAGTCTTAGATTTCGGTAGGGTAGATAGTGAGAGGGTTTCTTTAAATGGTTTAGGAATCAGAAAATGAACAATAAAAATAGTTCAAAATAATGTGACTTTTAACCTCATACAGTATGTAAAGTATTATTACTATACAAAGCACTTAGTAGTTAAAACATTGACGAGATAGTACTCAAACAGATGTGACTAATCCAATATATAATTATATCAAAAACATATTTCGGGTTTTCTTTACCTGACTTACAGCGGGAACACCTCTGGAGTACAGATGTCATGTTTTTGAATCCACTCCATGTATAAATGTGTACAGTTAAGACTCCAACAAACTGTGCCAGTGGCAAACCTGCTGTCCTTTGGAGCCTTTCATCTGTGTCCAGTGGGTCAGCTCCTCCTCTCCAGAGCTGTTGAGACCAAGTGAAATCCAACCAATCATCTCCTTGCGCTTCATGCTGCGCTTGTTGTAAACGGAGAGGATGAGAGTGACTTCCGACAGCTGGAAAAGAGCTACCTGGAAGACAAAGGTCTCTTTGTAGGTTGGGTTGGGCTGACCCCGACAGATGGATGTCTTATACTTGGACATCTCATGGCCCATGGAGTTCAGGAGAGTCAACTTAACGTATGTATCTGGAGTAGACACAGGGAGGAGGAATAACAGGGAGAAGATCAACTCTGGAACGTTCTTCAATCATCATAAAAACTGTTTTTAGTCGATTGGCTTGACATCGACTAGGCAGGCTAGGACATCTACTTTACCCCTTTGACTACAAAGAAGAAAATAAAATTGACTCCATCAAATAAAAACTGATTATCTGTGATTGGTGCCAGGATTCCAGGACTCCACGGCTCCAGGATTCCAGGATTCCAGAACTCCAGAGTTCCAGGACTCCAGAGTTCCAGGACTCCAGGGTTCCAGGACTCCAGGGTCCCAGGACTCCAGGGTTCCAGGACTCCAGAGTCCCAGGACTCCAGGGTTCCAGGATTCCAGGATTCCGAATTCCAGGACTCCAGGACTCCAGGATTCCAGGGTTCCAGGATTCCAGGGCTACAGAACTCCAGGACTACAGGTTTCCAGGACTCCGGGACTCCAGGGTTCCAGGATTCCAGCATTCCAGGGTTCCAGGGTTCCAGGACTCCAGGTTCTAGGATTCCAGGACTCCAGGGTTCCAGGACTCCAGGGTTCCAGGATTCCAGCATTCCAGGGTTCCAGGACTCCAGGTTCAAGGATTCCAGGACTCCAGAGTTCCAGGACTCCAGGGTTCCAGGATTCCAGGATTCCAGGACTTCAGGATTCCAGGAGTACAGGACAACAGGGTTCCAGGACTCCAGGATTCCAGGACTCCAGGACTCCAGCACTTCAGGGCTCCAGGGCTCCAGGATTCCAGGACTCCAGGACTCCAGGGCCCCAGGACTCCAGGGATCCAGGGTTCCAGGGATCCAGGGTTCCAGGATTCCAGGACTCCAGGATTCCAGGACTCCAGGGTTCCAGGACTCCAGTTGACTACTTTTAAAAACTGCTTTTGAAATTGTTATGATGACCTGAATGGCTGAGAATATCCACAAGTATGTTAAGACAACAACCAGCCAACAACCAGCCAACAACCAGCCAAAAACCAGCCAACAACCAGCCAACAACCTCAGCCTCCTCCAGCCTCTGGATCTAACTTGTCATGAGTTGAATTTAATCTCGAGGATTTTCAGATGAAAAAGAAAGAAAGTAAAGACCAAAGGTAGATCTTTGATGCTGGTCACAGGACCAGGTTCAACCACAGCCACCATCAAGATTAGATTCACACTGCATTCAATGACATGTCATGATCAGGTGTGCTCATTAGCCCCCAAGCTAGCCTTAGCTCCCGAGTACAAAAATGAAAGAATCATTAGAGTACAAACAGATGTTAATGAGACACACAGATACACATCTAACACACACAGGTACACACACACACACACACACAGGTACAGAGATACCACCCTACTGTATGGTTAGGAAGGAGTTCTAAAAAGAGAATTTCTACATTTGAATCTCACATCGTTGGAATAATAATAATAATAATAATAATAATAATAATAATGATAATAATAATAATAATAATAATAAGCATCTTGTTCTTGTTGAGGGGAACATCGATGACTTTTGGAACTAAATAGTTGTCTGTTATTTAGCCATACTTGATTGTGTTCATGACACGGTGAAGATGAACAGATAAAATAAAGTGGAAGAAACATTTAAAGATGATGATAAAGAACTCACCTCTGATGATATAAACCTGTCCACCAATCAGGTGTTTCAGACAACAGAACAGTCCATCTGACAACAGGGGTTGGACAGCAGTAGAAAGAAAAGAGCAGAACCAAGAAGTGAAAAAAGCTTGTACAGAAGAAGAAATGTCCAAATAAACCACAAACAGACAGAAGGGCAGGGACAACAGCAGGGGGCGGTGTAGGCAGACAGCTGGTGCTGGTGCTGTTGATGTTATTTTCCAAACGTGGTTGTGGTTGTGTAGACACAGGGTCTGCTGCTGTTTATTAAACCATGGTTCCATCCTGGAGTTTCCTGGACAACAGTGACCCCTAGTCTTTATCTTGATCTATGTCGGCCATCCTGCTGCTAACAGATTAATGCTAATCTCTACGACTCTCTGGAGGCATAGATTCCTGACTCCAACCCTGGACAAACCCCCCACCCCCACAGTCAGGAGGTTGTGGTCAAGCCTCCACAATCATTGTTAAAATACTTCATACAGTGAGTCATCCATATCATTGATATTGTCTTTCTGTAGTACTCCCGTGTACTGCATACTGCTGTACATGTTAAAACTGGGTACAGAGTACTTACTGGGTGGCTTGTTGGTAGCTAGGTTCTTGAAATGGATGCCTTTAATGACTTCGACGGACAGGCGACCTGTTGTGGCGTTGTACACGAGGCCCACAAGGATCTCCGGTGGAGAGGTCTGGCTGACAGACTGATACGTTGAGGCGCTTTCACTGCACGTCATATCTGACAGAGTGACCTGAGACTCACCAGCCTGAAAACACAATCAAAGACATGTGATGATGTTCAACACAACAATGTCATGAGTTCCTGTAGTAAATTATCAACTGCACCAAAACAGATGAACTGGAACATAACAAATGCAGTACAGTGTTTCAGCTCCTGTTCTGACTCACCAGCAGAGCACAGCACGGCTCCAGCACAACTGGCACAGAAACTTTGCCCTGAAGGTTCAGCTTTGTGAGGTAGTACGCCTTTTCTGCTAGAACCATTTCCTTTTTCATGCGTCTCATGCTGTAGAGGCGGAAGCGGACAGCGTAGTTACTGATCATTTCTGATTCCACGTGGCTGAATCGAAAGGTCTCCGTGAAGATGGGGCTGGGGCCTCTCTGGATACTAGTCCTTGCCCTCTGCTTCTTGGTGGGCAGCAGCACCAAGTGGACCTGCCAGGAGAAGTTGCCGGTGTGTTTGTTTGCAGGAAGGTCCGTTACCGCCATGATGGTCACAGCTAGTTGTTGCTCTTCACTGTCGTAGTCAAACACCACATCCAGGGTGCCACATTTTGCAATAGGCTCTGGTTCGTAACCTTTCAGAAGCTGTGCCGCTGACCCTCGGACCGACATATCCTGTGTATATTTTTGGTACATTAGCACGTCATTTGAATGAAAAGATATCACAAGTAGACTAGAGATCAACCAATCACCTCTGGACTGAGGACAGCTGTGCTGTCACTGGGCACATCCTCCTCGTAGGCCTTGTTGAGGTAACTCTCAGTCTCATGGCCATCACTGCCCACACTGGGACACTTACCAAAGGACAGGTGGGGACTGCCACTGGTGTAGGACAGATCATACTTGGCGTCTCCCAGATCTGACAGTGTGTAGGACATCCGTGGAGATCCGTCCTCATCTTGATAGGGTGGGGGCTGAAGCTCATCCAATGGTGGGGTTCGTCTCATTCTTTGGATGCAGTTGACTAGTTAGGGGCAGATAAAGAGGCAGATTAACTAGAACGTAAACTGAGGGGTTAACTAGTAAGATGCTAGCTGGTTTGGATCCAAACTAACTGGCTGTTTTTGATGTAATTTCCTTCTACTGTACTGTATATGAAGTAATCAAAGTACTGAAAGTCCTGGTACTACGTTTTTTAAACAATGAAAATAAAATGCTGTCAGTCATTGTCATAGAATTTCAACTAGTTAGCGGGAGGCTAACAGTTAACAGGAATCACAGACGTGGCAGACAAACCTGAGAGAAGGGAAATAAAATACAGCACCATCATCCATCCATCCATCTATCCAAATCCATCCATCCACCCATCCATCCATCAACCCATTCACCTCTCCAACTACCTGCATGTCCTCCCTCACTGCATCCATATATCTCCTCTTTGGCCTTCCTCTCTTTCTCCTACCTGGTAGCTCCATCTCTAACATTCTTCTACCAATGTATCCACTGTCCCTCCTCTGCACATGTCCAAACCATCTCAATCTGGCTTCTCTAGCTTTTTCTCCAAACCTTCCTGTCTGTGTTGTCCCTCTAATGACCTCATTCCTGACCCTGTCCATTCTTGTCACTCCTAAAGAGAATCTTAGCATCTTTAACTCTGCCACCTCCAGCTCCTCCTCCTGTCTTCTGCCTATTGCTACTGTCTCTAAACCATACATCATGGCTGGTCTCACCACTGTCCTGTAAACCTTTCCCTTCACCTTAGCTGACACTCTTCTGCCACCGATCACTCCTGACACTTTTCTCCAGCTGTTCCATCCTGCCTGTACTCTATTCTTCACCTCTCTTCCACAGTCTCCGCTGCTCTGAACAGTTGATCCTAAGTACCTAAACTCCTGCACCTTCACCACCTCTGCTCCTTGTAGCCTCACTATTTCACTGTTCTGCCTTTCGTTTACACACATGTACTCTGTCTTGCTGCGACTGACCTTCATTCCTCTTCTTTCTAGTGCAAACCTCCACCTCTCTAGGTTCTCTTCTAGCTGCTGCCTACTCTCACTACAGATCACAATGTCATCTGCAAACATCATAGTCCATGGGGACTCCTGTCTGACCTCATCTGTCAATCTGTCCATCACCACAGCAAACAAGAAGGGGCTCAGGGCCGATCCTTGATGTAGTCCCACCTCCACTTTGAAGTCTTCTGTCCTCCCAACAGCGCACCTCACTACTGTTGTACTATTCTCATACATGTCCTGCACCAAACTAACATACTTCTCTGCCACTCCTGACTTCCTCATACAAAACCACAATTCCTCCCTTGGCACTTTGTCATATGCCTTTTCTAGATCTACAAATACACAATGCAGCTCCTTCTGACCTTCCCTGTACTTCTCCATCAACATCCTCAAGGCAAATATTGCATCTGTGGTACTCTTCCTAGGCATGAAACCATACTGTTGTTCACAAATCTCCACTTCCTGCCTCAACCTAGCTTCAACTACTCGTTCCCAAATCTTCATTGTATGGCTCATCAACTTTATCCCTCTGTAGTTGTTACAACTCTGTGCATCACCCTTCTTATGAATTGGCACCAGAACACTTTTTCTCCACTCATCAGGCATCTTGCCAGTCTCTAAAATTCTGTTAAACAAACCAGTCAGGAAATTTACTGCCACTTCTCCTAAACACTTCCATACTTCCACTGGTATGTCATCAGGACCAACTGACTTTCCACTCTTCATCCTCTTCAGGGCTTTTCTAACTTCATCCTTTCTAACCTGATCTACCTTCTTCCTACTAGTCTCTGGCTCCTCGTTTCTACTTTCCCTTTCATTTTCCTCATTTAACAACTCCTCAAAGTATTCCTTCCATCTTCTCAGCACACTTTCCTCACTTGTGATCACATTCCCCTCTCTGTCCTTAATCAACCTCACCTGCTGCACATCCTTCCCAGCTTGATTTCTCTGTCTCGCCAATCTATACAACTCCTTTTCTCCTTCCTTTGTTTCCAAACTCTCATACAACTCCTCATATGCCTTTTGTTTGGCCTTGGCCACTTCCCTCTTCACCTCCCTTGTCCTCTCTTTGTACTCCAGTCTGTTCTCTTCTGTTCTGTCACTGTCCCATCTCTTCTTCGCTAATCTCTTTCTCTGCACACTCTCCTGGATCTCCTCATTCCACCACCAGGTCTCTTTGTCCTCCTTTCTCTGCCCAGAGGACATACCTAGCACCTTCCTACCTGTCTCCCTCATCACTGCAGCTGTAGTCTCCCAATCATCTGGGAATATCTCAACACTACCCAGAACTGCCCTTACTTCCTTCCTGAAGTCTTCACAACATGTCTCTTTCCTTAGTTTCCACCACTTGATCTTCTGCTCTGTCTTCACTCTCTTCCTTTTTGTCACCTCCATCGTCATTTTACACACTACCATCCGATGTTGTTTGGCTACACTCTCACCTGCCACCACCTTACAGTCTCTAATCTCCCTCAGATTACATCTTCTACATAGAATATAATCTATCTGTGTGGACCTGCCTCCACTCTTGTAAGTCACCCTATGTTCCTCTTTCTTTTGGAAATATGTGTTTACCACAGCCATTTCCATTCTCTTTGCAAAATCTACCACTGCCTGTCCTTCTACGTTTCTCTCCCTAACACCAAACCTGCCTATCACTTCCTCATCTCCTCTGTTCCCTTCCCCTACATGACCATTTAGGTCTGCTCCAATCACCACTCTCTCTCTCCTGGGGATACCCTCTACCATCCAATCTAGCTCCTTCCAGAACTTCTCCTTTTCTTCCAACTCACAGCCCACCTGTGGGGCATAACCACTAACAACATTAATCACCTCTCCTTCTACTTCTACCTTCACACACATCAACCTGTCTGACTCTCGTTTCACCTCCACCACATTTCTTACATGTTCTTCCTTCCATCCATCAACCCATTCACCCACTGACCATCATCCATCCATCCATCCACCCGCCCATCCATCCATCCATCATCCATCCATCCACCCATCCATCCACTGACCATAATTCATCCATCCATCAATCCATCCATCCATTGACCATCATCCATCCATCGATCCACATCCATCCATCCA